AAGAGGAGCCACGGGTGACAATGCAGCATTCCTATCAGTCTCCAATGCCATCTCTCTCGATCCCTCTATCCTGATCAATTCTCCTTCTCTCAGATACTGATATTGAAAATTGATCCCACGAAATGGAAAAGACAAGATGATAAAATGAAACGTACTAGCAAAGGAAGCCGGGAAAAGAAGGGCAGCTCGACTGATGGTGTGGAAATTTCGTGGCAAACATGCACAGGACCTGCTTGCATGCATGACTCTCTTGCGTTTGAATCTTGCCATCTGGGTTCTCTTGGTGACACGTAGAGTAGAAGGCGTCATACTAGTTTTTGACGAAGGTAAGAATTGATGTATCAAAGGATTATTGCTCACCGAAAGGTATGGAAATGGACAGGGATGCAAGTTGAAAATGTGAATCACAAAGCTTGTCTTTTTTTTTTTTTTTGGTAGCAGCTTACAGCCTTGTTCTCGGCTACTTTAGATTTTGCAAAATTTAATTATCTCAATCAACAAAAACTACTCTTTAATTGATTATGTATTTTAACTTCTTTTACTATTAAAAAAGGGCACGCGTTAAAACGTTAAAATATATTTTAAAAGTTAGATTTTTTGAAAAAGTAAGATTAATTAGAGAAAGTGTATAAATGTAAGAAGGGTAATAATTATTAATGTGTGTTTGTATGTATATATATATATATATATATATATATATATATATGGTAAGTTAGATGAAATTTAAATGTGTTAAGGAGTGTCCAATGAATCCTTAAAAATCTATAATTTGAACATAAAAACAAATGAGAACATCAAAAAAAAATTGATTATCTAAAATTAAAATTTATAATCAACTCAAATAATTAACTAAGAACAAGCCCTAAGTGAGCTCCCTTCAAGCACAACTTTAAAAATTCTATGTCAACTCTAGTCGTACTAAAAAAAAAAAAAAGTCTTTAGTCGTCCCATTTATAGGGATGGAAAATAGGATTGTTAACTACAGACAAATCTATCCACTATTTTTTTTAATCTTTTATCTTTATATTTTAGGTGTACATTCATACTTTCGTGTATCTCGATACAAAATTAAGGATTGGTGGAGTTGTAATATGTCTATAATATTTTTAGAGATATAATCAAATCTAATTATAGCTAGCACTTGGTGTCCAAGCTTTTTTCTTTTATGATAACAAGCTTGAAATGTGTTCAAGCTTTATTTCTTTATGATAATGAATTTGAAATTGTATTCAACCTTATTTGATTATTTATAGATGAATTCAAATCAGATTTTATAAATGCAACCACCAAATAACTTTAGACTTCGTTTGGATTGGCTATTTTTTCAAAAAAACAAGGGTTCGTTTGGATTGACAGTTTTTCCAAAAACTGTTTTTGTCTTTGAGAAACAACTTTACTGATCAAGTAAGTCTACAGTGGGTCTTTAATAAAACGACGGCGTTTTTTGGCAAAATACCCAATTACTTGTTTTCGGCTTTCCTTTGTCGACGCTACTTTCCCAAATTGCCTTCTGTGCTGAAGGCGAAGACTCTCAGAACAGGGACCAGTCAGGAGCTTGTGCAAAGTACTCCTCTGAAGCACCATTGCCGGCCATCGAGAGGCAAATTTGTGAGTAATCAAAGCAGATTTCAGCTCGCAACCTTCGAATCCAGCCTCCTTCAGCTCGCGATTTCAGCTTGCGACTTCACTTCCAAACCTCCTCTGAGCTCCGACCCCCTCTTCGCTCTTCGATCCATCTTGCTAGTACGCCCCTCTTTGAGAGCGACCTTGTCTGCAAGAGCCCATCCTCGCGCTTCAATCCGGCTTTCTCTTAACCCCCTTTCACAGCGAGCAGCACATCTCGAGTGACTGGCAGCTCCGACCCCTCTTCGGCCTTCGATTTACTGTTAAGGTTATGTTTCTAAGGCATTTTGCGGCTTTCACTTTACTGTTCTTGCTGCGTATTGTAAAGAATAATGCGTGGGTTGTTCAAAATTTGATGTCCGGATGCCCCAAAAATTTTACTGTGAGGTCAAAATTTGCTTGCTGCTTTCAATTTTCCAATTTGGCCGTTTAGAGGTGTTGGACAGTAGAGTTAGAGATTAGTTGTGCAGAGTATTGTGGTGTCTGAACCAAGTCTCGGCAATGCTGAAAATGAACCATGAAAAATTGAACTGGTTTGAATATTGAGACGATAAACTGGCCATGCTCTGGATTCAATGTCAGATTTCATTTTGAAAAATATTGAGAAAATCTCTTGACCACAATACGGCATTGACTTCAATTCATATCAGCTGGTCATGAATTTTGTTTGGTGCTGTTTTGCCGGAGTTGGTGGTTGCATTCGATAATCCTTATATAAATTTACCAAGAAAATGACCTTACTTGCTTGAGATTCATTAGAATTGCCTAAATTCAGTGAAAGAAGCATATGTTTGTGCTTCTGATGGAAATAAAATATTTGTTGGGCTGCTTCTGATTGTGCTTTTTTGGGATATTATTCCCCCCATGAGTGTGTCTCGCTTTGTTGAAATGCGACCCTATGGAGCCTGTTTTCGTATTATTGTAGTATTAGTTCTTGTGTTTTTACCCCAAAATGAACTCTCTGATGCTATTTCTGTGATTTTAAATTGTCTTCTCCGGCTATAGATGAGATATTGGTATCTGCAGTCTAACTTCATACTGCTGTGCTGTGCTACAAAACAGGGTAGGTTGGTGTTTTCATTGCCGTTGTCTAAGGTTACATGCCCCCTATTACTCGCCGTGCTTCCAAAGGTAGTTTGTGTGGCTCTGACTCTGTTTACTGCCTTGTTTAGTGCGACTAATTTTGACTCGTGTGTAAACACAGCATTGAAGACGAAAAATTGTGACAATTGTTGGGGATCCAACTCAGCTTGGGGGGAAAACGATTTACAAAAGTGCATTTCTAACTATTACAAGGTAATACATGCTAATCCTCTACTTTCGCTACTTATTATTTCAAATAGTTTTGTCCGGCCGATAGTATAAGTACCAACCGTTTCTGATTGCCTTTATTTATGGGTTAATAAGATGAGAAAACAAAGGCGCAATCCAGGCCACCAGAAAATTTATTTCACTAGGCAGCAGGAAATAGAAATTGCCAAGCGCCTAGTCAGCATGCATACAGCTAGTGAAATTAGGGACAATAATATTGGTAGCTACGTGGTTCCCGAGATTCAACAGCAGTTGAACTGCCAATTTGGCACATCGTTCACATGGGACAGCATAAGAGCCAAATACTATGCCTTGCGAGAACTTACCAAGCTGTACATTGCCTTCAAGAGGCGGGAAACGGGACTGGGTTGGGATAGCCAGAACTTTACCTGGCTCATGGACGATAGCAAGTGGGCTGAGCTTGCACAGGTATTTTTTGTCAAGTCAAGTGTTTTTATATCAATTTATGTCTATTAAAAGTTATTCAGATTATACGTGCAGCTCCCTCAAATAACCTTTTGGCTGTGGTTTTTTTTTTTGTCAGGTGAACCCAAAATATTTAAAATTTCAAGATGATTGCACCGTCTACCACTTGCTTGAGGAGGTTTTTGTCAACCAAGGAGCAACGGGGGATTTCAGCGCTGGCTTTGAGAACGAGCCCCGTACTTCACCCGAGGAGAGATACATGGAGAACCTTGCCCAATCGTCACGGGAAAAGGGAAGGTCGGACGCTACGCACGAGGGTGTTGAAACTGAGTTAGTAGGGGCAAATGCAGCGAAAGGGAGAAAGGGCAAAGGAAAGCGGAAATCGGGGGACATGTCAAGCGGTAGTCCTATGTCCACCGCCTCCCATTCAGCTTCTGATAGGTACATGAAGGCTCTTGACACCATTGAGTCCCTGGTTAGTCGCCATAAGAGCAGCAGCATAGGCGTGTCAGTCAGTTCTCCGGACAAGCAGTGTTCCGGCCGCGGTGGCCCTCCCAAAACTGCCTATGAAGCTGCCATGGATCAACTTCGGGGAATGGAGAACGTTTCATACGCAGCCAAAATGGCCGTGGCTGAAATATTGAAGGATAAGCAAGAGCTGGCCATTTGGAATTTAGCACAATCGGACGCCGACCGCATCACATTTATGAAAATAAAAGGCTGTTTCCCGCCTGATACGCAGGAGCCCCCTCCCCCACCTCCATTGTAGTCGTTTCGCGGAAATCGGGAGCTTGTATCTGAGACTTGAGTTGTTGACTTGAGTTGTTGATTTCTTTATAGCCAACTCAGCTATTGTAGCATTTGCTACCGATACATTTGAGTGTTTTTTTTTCAGAGGTGTTGTGATTTGTCTATTTGGATTTCGGCCCCTTACTGGCCATGAGTTTGTTCAGTTTTTATTGCATTGGGTTGGAGTTGTTCAGTTTTTATTATTATTGATGATGTGTTTGTGGCATTGACTATCTTGGTTAATCTCTAAATTCAGGGGTGCTTTGTGTCCATGAATGCCCTGGATATTATATGTCGAAACGCAGGATTTGAGTTAATTGTGTTTGGTCCTCTGTTGGTTACTATTTAAAACCATGTGGTGCTTATATATTTTTGGGGATGACTTTGTGGGATAATTTCTAAGGATAGGATTAGGAATGTGGTGCTAGTTTTCATTAACAACAGGTTACTCATTTTAAGGCATTTGTTCATAGCTACAAATGTTGTGAACTGAAATGGCAAAGTAACATGCTGTCCTTTATGGTTTTTATCTCACAGGTTTTGTTGCTGTCCAAATATTCACTTATTGGCTTGTTAGTAGCTGTCTTGACTTGGAATCTTCAAAAACTGTGGTGAATATATATTCCAAGAGCTATTGCCATATAAACAGAAATTAAACTGGCGGATTTTTTTTTCAGATTTGTTGCCCGAAATAGCATATAACCTGCCTTCTTGATTTGCTGATGCTATATAGCTATTTGCCAGTATGCTTTAATTAGGAGATAATGGCGTTGTTGTTGATCATGCCTTTTGAAAATGACCTTTTTTCTCAGGACCATGAGTGACTTTGGCTGCCGAGATCACATTTGGAAATGGAGTATGAGGATTATTTGCAAGGTGGGGATTTCTTCGACGAAGGAGATGAGGAGGAGATACTTTTGACTTTCATCTACTTTGTGCTTGCTGGTTTGGCTCTATTCGACCCATATCTAAACCCTGTGGAGCGCCGACGAATTCGAGATGGTGCACAGTCGGGTGCTCAATGGGTTGTAGAACTCATAAACGGCCATTGAGATAGAATATTCGACAACCTTCGAATGGAAGCTCCGCTTTTCCTGCAGTTATGTGATTTGTTGATTGAGAGGGGCTATTGGGAGCCCCACCCGACAGGACGGGTAGGCATTCACGAGTCTCTCGCCATTTGCCTTCTTTGCTTGAGCCATAACGAGCGACATAGGGTGCTAGCCGAGAGATTCCAACGCACAACCGAGACCACGGACCGTCATCTACGACGATGCCTTCGATCTCTCGTTCGCTTGGGACGCCACTTTGTCCGGCCGATAGATTATCACACGACGAATCCAAGAATACAGAACAGTGCTACGTTTTGGCCCTGGTTTAAGGTTAGAGATATTTTGTGAAATCTCTTATTAATTATAATCTATATGAGACTGAACGTCTACTTATTCTGATTAGGATTGTGTTGGAGCTATTGATGGAACGCATGTTTCAGCTTGGTGTAGAGCCGAAGACAGGGAGCGTTATCAGAATAGGCATGGCGGCTTATCGCAAAATATATTAGCAGTGTGTGATCATAATATGCGATTCACTTATGTCAGGGTAGGGTGGGAGGGTAGCGCACATGATTCTAGGATCTTAAAAGATGTCTTACTTGATCCTAATTGTGCTTTTCCACGGCCACCAGAAGGTAATTTGGGTATTAAATCATCCATTTGGAATTTATCGCATGACATTTCTTAAAACATTTATTAGTAATATCTATAATGCACTTAACTATAATTACTTTGTGTGCAGGGAAGTATTATGCGGTCGATGCGGCATACATGAACATGCCAGGATTTATGGCTCCCTTTAGGGGTGCACGGGGAACCCAACAGGAGCGGGCAGCAAGAACACTTTTCAACAGACGCCATGCATCTTTACGGGGCATTATAGAACGCACGTTTGGTGTTCTTAAGAAGCGATTTCCGATACTTAAGGGCCCCATGCAGAACTATTTGATGGCGACACAGAATAATATTGTCCTGGCTTGCTGTGCATTGCACAACTTTATGCGTGATAATGTCCCGAATGATGCATATTTTGTTGAAGAAGAGACTATTGCAGCACAGGCAGATAATATAAATCATGTGGTGGATCAAATGGCCGGCACAGAACCACTGGATATGTCGCCTCAAGGAATTGCTGGTTGGAATGAATTCAGGAGCGCCTTGGCAAACAGCATGTACTATCACCAACATTAGTAGCTCCATTTTGTCGTTATCTATGTAGTGCTTTTGTAACTAGTGGGCGGATTGCGAATGGCAAAGCATAAATAATGGTTCCACGGTGGCTATTGTATATGGCATGTACACTTATGCAAAATTTCTATCTATTAAGTTTACTTTTAATTATACCAGTGGTGTACTGCTAAAGTATTTTGGTGAATGAAATTTATTGATTTTTTTAATGCCCAATTTGAATGGATGTTTTTCAAAAATAGCTAATAAAAATAGCTTGTTTTTGAAAAACAAGCTGTTTTTCAAAAACAGATAAATCCAAACAAGCTTGTTTTTGAAAAACAAGCCGTTTCTCAAAAACAGCTAATCCAAACAACATTTGCTGTTTTTCAAAAAATGAATAGTATAGTTTTTAAAAAACAACCCCAAAAACAACCAATCCAAATGGACCCCAAGTTTTTTCAAATACAATGTTACGGTAATATACAAGATGTTGGTTTTTTGGGGCATAAACTAAGAAACAACACCTTAGTGTTGCAAAAAAAACTTATAAGAGACTTCCATTGAAGGTGGAAAATGAGCTTATGTTCTACATTCATCAACTCACTATTTATAGTGATTACATGAAACAAACTAGCAAAATATCCCACTAACAATTATCCTAAAAATCTCAACAAAATATAATCTCCTTCTACTAGCAAATCTTATCTAAAATATCTGTTAACAAACCAACATGATCTTTGGTTAACAAATATCCTTATTTTTCTAATAACTAAATTATTTTGATATCAAACATAATCTAGCAAAATATGTAGAAAAAGTTGCATATCCCAACACAAGAACTCAAAAAAGATCCCATCCATATTAGTATATCAAATATTTCAAAAAAATTTTAATATACACTGCTACAATAAACTGTTACAATAAAATATTTCAAAAACATCCCAAAAATAATTAATGCAAACGAAGTCTTTTGGTTCATCATATTAAAATTTTTCTAAAAACAACCAACGCACAAACAAATAAACAACCCAACAACAAAAAAGTGTATTCATCGAGTCCAGACCAAGTGGCAAGCATCCAAAACCATTGAACCGCTCCACCTTTGGTGCTTATTGGACCTCCAAGATTGGGCAACCAAAATTTGAGGCCCAAGTCAACATCCCATCAAAACGCTAACTTAAGAGAGACAAGGGGAAGAAATCTGGAAACAGAGAGAGAAATGGCGAGCGATGCTGCGGCGGCTGTAGAGGTAACAACATCGGCCGATGCACCGCCGGCCACGGTGGACGCAGCTGCAAAATTGCCGCATAAGGTGGAGAGAAAGTGGTCGTTTTGGTGCGATAACCCATCTAAGCCAAAACAACAAGGAGCAGCTTGGGGAAGCTCTTTGCGCAGGCTCTACACCTTCGACACAGTTGAAGAATTCTGGAGGTATATTATCCTCTCAAACATGGACAAATTTGTTGATAAATTCATGTTGTTAAATTTTTACGTATATATTTTGTATGTATCTCGTGTGATTGATTCAGATTTCTGAATTTTATTGGATTCTAGGGCTTCAGTATTATAAATTTGAGAATTCGGTATGTTCTTTCTCTTATCAGTCAGATTTGTTGATTTCATTGTGTTTATAGATTGACGGTTAAGATTAATTACTAAAGTGTATCTGTTTTAGGTTAAATTTCTTTTTAACTGATCCTGTAATTGGTTGTACGAGGGGGAAAAATATTTAGAATCTGTATTTGTTCTTTTTCATGCAAATGAAAAAGACAGCTTCTTTTTTGCTAATGCGGTTTGGATTGTCAGAATAATAACTGTAGCAGTGACTGCCCTTTAATTAAACAAAATCGAACACTTTTGCTTTTAGCGCATCTGACAAGATAAATCTGTGTTTCCCTCAAATTTGGGATAGAGGAAACTTTTCAGAATTGTACAACGATATGAATCAACTATATTATAGTTCCCTGAAAATGTGAAAAGCTGATGCAAAGTGTACAAGTCCTGGTTTGGCTCGCAACCTGGTCTCCTCATTTCCAATAAAAGCTGATTTCTCCTAACTTTAGCAACTAAAAGTTTTCCACGGGCGAATAGATCCAACTTTTGATTCAATTGTGGGATTTTTTTATTGTTTTTGTTGGGGGGCGGGGCGGCGCTAACGTGACAAAAACTGGGTGTCCTGAATAGGACAGCTCGATTAGAGAATGCTACATTCTTCAAAATCGTTCAACCTAACTGACAGCACATAATGTCTCTTTTGTCGTGTTAAACATCAATTAACTATAAACATTCAGGTTTTTCATATGTACCTGTAGCATCATGGTAAAACTAACACTGGATGTAAGATTCAATTGTTGTTATGTGTCGGTTAAAAGAACAGCTTTTATTGCAGCTTGTATGATCAGATATTTAGACCCAGCAAGTTAGTGATAAACGCAGACTTTCACTTGTTCAAAGCTGGGATAGAGCCAAAATGGGAAGATCCTGAGTGTGCTGGTGGAGGCAAGTGGACAGTTACTAGCAACAGAAAAGCTAATCTTGATAACATGTGGCTCGAAACTGTAAAGATCTTATTTATTTTTTGGACTTTTTGTTGATGCTTTTATGTCATTGTATTTTGTTAAAACAAGGTCTTGGAGCTGAGTTTTTTGTTATCTTGTTGATTAACCTATGGAATTCTGCTGGACAGTTGATGGCTTTAATTGGGGAGCAATTTGATGAGGCTGATGAGATATGTGGAGTGGTTGCCAGTGTGCGTCAAAGGCAGGACAAGATTTCACTCTGGACTAAAACTGCTACCAACGAAGCTGCTCAGGTTTTGGTCTTACAGTTTTATCTTCTGTTTATATTCTCATATTATACTCGCTTCTAATTACGTATATCTGCAGATTTTAATATGGTCTAAGTGCATTTAAATTAGCATTATTTTCTGTTGTTAAGCTTCTATTGTTAGTATTGGTTCTAGTTGTGTAGTCTAATTATGACAATATGTGGATAATCCCTGAGGAATCTTTCAAAGTGTGTAGCATTTAGAGCATCAAGGTTCCCTAGCCTCTCTCCTTCTTTTTCCATTTTTTGTTGAGGGGAAGAAGGGGGGGGGGCAGTTTACAGTTGTTGAACAAAGATATGGGCATAAACCTGGCAAAGGCTAGCTTTGGATGGTTATAGTAGGTATCCTAATGTTCTTATGAGCCCTAACTGTACGTGGATTAGTTTTAGGCACTTAGCATGATAAGATTCCAAGACTAGATAGGTGTAATCTTTATCAAAAAATTTACATCCTCTATGGCAAATTGAGTTTCTAGTTGGCTGTTGATGTTTGGATTGTCAAATCTAGGAGCAACTTTTTAACTCATGCCTTTTTTTTTGGGGGGGTGGGGAGGTGTGTGTAGGGTTTTAATCTCCTAACTTGATGTTATTGTATCTCTTTTGGAACTTCTTATCCATTGAGTGTTTTCAGTTAGACTGTAGAACTTATTAAAAGATATTGCTAGAATCTGAAAAGTTCCAAAATTGGCCATGCTTGAAATTCTCATCACTGAATACCTTCACAAATTGAATGTTTCCCTAAGCGTCTCATTGGAACTTCTTGATTTCTTCTGTCTGCTCATTAAGAAGACTAATAATTTAGGCCTGGTTTTTGTGATCCAGATGAGCATTGGAAGGAAATGGAAGGAAATCCTTGACGTCACAGATAAGATCTCTTACAGTTTTCATGTAAGTTTTATTTGGGTTATTAAGTTTCTCATGTCATGATAAATTTTTGTTTCTTTCTCAAGCTCGTTTTGTGTGTGGCAGGATGATTCTAAAAGGGAAAGATCAGCAAAAAATCGATATAGTGTGTGAATATGCACTTGAAATCGACAGTGTTAACAGGCACCTGATTATACTCAAAATTATGTGTGTGTTGCATTTGAAGTAGAGATGCGGTTAATGACGACAATCAGGAACACCCCACCACTTGTGCCACTGCAAATTGATGTAGAAGATATTGCTTTGCGCTTTAATTTTGATGTAACATTATCATGCGCCAGTTTTGACCTTTGCAATCTAGGTGTTTTTTTTTTTTAAAAAAATATATATTGTTTCAATGTAACGTTGTCAGATGCCAGTTTTGATTCTAGTAATACTGAGATTGTTGCCTTTCTTCCCTTACTGTGAGTTGCTAATTGTCTTCAACCAAAGGGGTTTTACGCAATTTGACTGAGTTGTGGCTGGATATAGGAATTCTCCGTACTTAGAAACAGTTACTAGAATTCCGGATTGCTTTAAAGGTACTGTTTGGATTTCTATTTTTGTCAAAAATTTTGTTTCATTTTCTGTGAACATTTATTTTAAACATTTATCGATCATTTTTTCATTTTACATACTAAAAGTGTTACAGTAATTTCTTTATCAAAAACACTTCAGAAAATGCAATCTAAGCAACCAATATGCATGCGTACACTTTGTGGTTAACCATGGAGCCTTTGTGAAGATGTGCACTATAAATGAGATGACAATGTGAATTATGTTGTGAGTATCAGAAGAGCATCAGATATTGCAGTGGCAGTTGACACAATCTCTCAAACATTGAAAATCCTGTGTCCATGGTGGTGAGGAGAATGTACCATATCAAGCAAGGAATCCAAGTTTTTCTCCATTCTTCTTGGCTAATCGAATCAGCCCTTGCCTTTGTTTTGAATCTGCTCCTATTTGTTTGCAGAATTCATTTATTACCTGAAAATTGCGACTCCTGTTGTTACTCATAAGTTACAAATTGAATATTTCCCTAAGCGTCTCATTGGAACTTCTTGATTTCTTCTGTCTGCTCATTAAGAAGAATAATAATTTAGGCCTGGTTTTTGTGATCCAGATGAGCATTGGAAGGAAATGGAAGGAAATCCTTGACGTCACAGATAAGATCTCTTACAGTTTTCATGTAAGTTTTATTTGGGTTATTAAGTTTCTCATGTCATGATATATATTTTTTTCTTTCTCAAGCTCGTTTTGTATATGGCAGGATGATTCTAAAAGGGAAAGATCAGCAAAAAATCGATATAGTGTGTGAATATGCACTTGAAATCGACAGTGTTAACAGGCACCTGATTATACTCAAAATTATGTGTGTGTGGCATTTAAGTAGAGATGCGGTTAATGACGACAATCAGGAACACCCCACCACTTGTGTCACTGCAAATTGATGTAGAAGATATTGCTTTGCGCTTTAATTTTGATGTAACATTATCATGCGCCAGTTTTGACCTTTGCAATCTAGGTGTTTTTTAAAAAAAATATATATTGTTTCAATGTAACGTTGTCAGATGCCAGTTTTGATTCTAGTAATACTGAGATTGTTGCCTTTCTTCCCTTTGTGTGAGTTGCTAATTGTCTTCAAGCAAAGGGGTTTTACGCAATTTGACTGAGTTTTGACTGGATATTGGAATTCTCCGTACTTATAAACAGTTACTAGAATTCCGGATTGCTTTTTGGTACTGTTTGGATTTCTATTTTTGTCAAAAATTTTGTTTCATTTTCTGTGAACATTTATTTTAAACATTTATCGATCATTTTTTCATTTTACATACATTATGTTCTAAAAGTGTTACAGTAATTTCTTTATCAAAAACACTTCAGAAAATGCAATCTAAGCAACCTATATGCCTGCGTACACTTTGTGGTTAACCGTGGAGCCTTTGTGAAGATGTGTACTATAAATGAGATGACAATGTGAATTATGTTCTGGGTATCAGAAGAACATCAGATATTGCAGTGGCAGTTTACACAATCTCTCAAGCATTGATAATCCTGTGTCCATGGTGGTGAGGAGAATGTACCATATCAAGCAAGGAATCCAAGTTTTTCTCCATTCTTCTTGGCTAATCGAATCAGCCCTTGCCTTTGTTTTGAATCTGCTCCTATTTGTTTGCAGAATTCATTTATTACCTGAAATTGCGAGTCCTGTTACTCATAAGTTACATAAGCGAAAACTGGCACATAATAGTAGTCTCAGTATGAAATGCTTTGGATAGAAAATTATTGGGATTAATATTATAATATTTTTTTATATGATGTATGTGAGATAAAAAGGTAATTAAGAGTATAAAAAGTTGTTGAAAATGTGTTTATGATATAAGTTAAATAATATTTGAAAAAAATTCATATCCAAACAAAAGAATAGTAGAGGCATTCTTTTACATCTAGTTATTCTAGTTACCTAGATAATATCAAGGATATCGAGATGGGTTCGTATGGATAGTAATTGTTCGCCAAATTTTATTCATTTGCCTCACAAACACATTTTTTAATTTTATTATATACATCACATCAAAAAAGTATTAAGTATTTTTTTCAAAAAATTATCTAAATTACTCAGGATTCATTTTAGAATATTTGATTCAATAATAATTAACAGAAATTTGTTGAACGAACTTGAAATCCAAAAGCAGAGAAAGAGGAAAATTGCTCGGAGAACATAACAAGTTCATCGGCAGAAAATATTGAAGATAACACAATTGCATCATCCGTCCAAGGTTGTATGTATAAAAACAAGAAAGGCTAAAATGCTAGTACCAGCCTTTTTTGTGGCCAGGCAATATTTTTCAATTAAAATGTCACTTAAAATCCCTTAAATAAAGCTAAAAACTTTCACAAGAAACCACCCTACATAATATCTTGCAAGTTTTAAAAACCTAAAATAATCATCCAACTATTGTTTCTCATGGAAATATTATGTTCAAACTCCAATAATTGTTTCTCATGGAAGAAATATGTCAATTAGCAAAGAAAATCACTAAGAAAAATTAATATTGGAGGTGGCTCAGCTTGGTACCTGTGAGTGTAAAGAAATGGCCTTTCCCCTGAACTGATTGAATCGCTTTTTGCCAATTATGTTACGTGCAACAATAACAAGAGGAGCAAACAGTCCCTTTCCTTCATTAATATTTCCCATCATCGGCTGTAATCTGACCGGCTTCCCCACTCGAACATGGCTAGGAACAGTCTTGGCTAGCATGGGATAATCTTCCCCACCCACTGATTTTCCCCAACTTCCATGAAAAGAAGATGATAAACCCCCTTTAAACCCAGTCGCACAAACTGCTGCAGCCATTGAAAAATCACAAGTAGACCTAACTTGAAAGATTTCCTCTTAATTAAGAAATCTAAGCACAGAGGTTTTCTTGTTTTACTTTTCTTTTAATCTACGTTGCGGTCTTCGGAAGTTTTGATGCTGTCCTGTTGTCGTGAGAAGATGTGATGATGAAGAGGTGTAAGTATGAGAGCCTGTGGTTTTTATTGGATAGAAGAGTTGGAGAAATGTGAGGAGATATTAAGAGCCACGCATGCATGCTGGTGGCAGGTGGCTTGGATTTTTGCCTGTATTTTTACTTGAATAGAATCCTTTCCCCTCGAGCTCGAGGATCTTTTTCTGCTATTTCTGTGGTTCTTTCCCATTCTTGTGGAGCCCTCCATAATTTTTTTGAAGTCCATGACCATAACTCGGAAGCAAATAATGAAATATATGAAAAATGGGAACAAAATTTTTTGGGTGAGTTCTTCATTTTCAAAATTTTTCATTTCCTTTGCTTCATTTTCTATATTACCAACACAAATTTTATGCGGTTTTATGATGCTGTCAAGAGACAAAGTTTCACCTGGTAGTATTTAATTGGCACTTTTATTCGTCAGGTGAATTTCTCAAAAGCTTCAGAAACTATAGGAAAAAAATGTATTCGAAGAAGAAAAGGATCCATTTATCAAGAACTGCAAAAGGGAATTGAAAAAAAAAAGAAGAAGAAGAAGGAAATCCCATTTATTAGGACCTGATTAACTATGGAAAATTACAAGAAACAATTTATAAATCAACGTACAGGATTGTTGTCGTGTTCACAAAAAAATGCTATTCTCAAACTTGCGTATTTTCTTTCTTTTTTTTCTTCATGAATGTGAACATTATTTTTGCTCATGGCAGCCTAAGCCGCTAAGTGTGGGTCGGCTAACCACAAATTTAGTGGCTTTGAATCAATTTCTGGCCGTAAATGTTTATGTCGGAAGAAAGTGCTTGGCAACCAGAAGATTCATAACTTTGGTTGTAAACAATGATTTTGAAAGTTCAAAGTGTGGTAGGAAAACAAGATACGAAGTAAACTTTGATTGAAATAGTTTTCATATTTGTATCGTTGAAACGTGTCTTCTTGCTCGTTTGGTACAATAATGAGGACATCAAGATTCATGAATTTAAAGGTCAAACTTGACCAAAACTTTTCAAATTCATGGACATTGAGTTGCAGCATGAAAAAAGAGTAGACTGTTGTTTGTGTTTCGTATGGAGACCATTTGTTTTGGTTTACTGGCTGGAAGCCTGGAACTTGGAAGGAAAGGAATAGATGAAGAGGGGAATTCAATATAATGTGATTCAAGTCCTGAAGTTCTTTTTCATATTTTGTTTGGTTGTTTTAGTTGAGGTGTAAACGAATCGAGTTTAATCGAGTAGTTTATAATCTTATTCAATTAAAATTCGAACTCAAACTCATGTTGATCGAATTTGAGATCAAGTTCGAGCCGTCTGAATTATTTAACGAATCGAACTAGAATTTAATATTTGAGGTTCAAAAGCTCATCGAACTTAATTGAATTCAAAAGCTCATCGAACAGAAGAAAACAAAAAAAAAGGGGAAGGAAATGACTTTGTTTACAATTGACGATTGAGATGATTAGACTACAATGCTCATATTCATCAAGCGTTCATGTTCTTCTTCTCTTTATCATCCAGGCAAAACAAAAGATTCCTCAATAAATTTTTTCCCTCGTTTAACATTAGATTTCAAGTAATTAAACAAGTTTGTAACAATTACACTCTTTTGTTACTAATTAATCTCGGATCAAGTCTTTATCCACAGAAAAGTTGCTAAGGTAACCATCAAGTCCTAGCTTGGGATAAAGTAAAAACGAACTGCATTCCCTTTTAATTACTTGAAGAAATAAGAGAGCATTTGAATTTGTTTTGGAAAATTCTTTCAACTGGTAAAAGAATGCATTTGTTTTTAAAATGTTGGAACTATTTGGTTACAGTCACTGGATGCCATTCTTGGAATCTCCAATCCATGAAAGCTTGGCTTAGTTACAGTCACTGGGGTGCCATTCTTGTAATCTCCCTTTCATTTCATTCTTTGAATCTGCATCCATGAAAGCTTTGTCATTATTATTGGTTAAAAAGGTGCTCAGTTAGAGACAAAATGTTTTCACAAAGAAGTTTAGGGTAAAATCTCCACTTAAGCATTGATTTGAGTTCAATATGCACACAAATTTTGACTCCAAAAAACAAAAATATTTATCTTTAACTCTGATGAATTAGTCCAAGTTGGAGATATGCTTAAGGCTACATGGTCACACACGTCACAAAAATTGAAAACAAGTCAAAAAAAAAAAAATGCAAAACACACAAATGACAAAATGACAACACAGATGAAATATATACTGTATTAGTTCTAGCGAGTGAATCACCTTGAAGGCCATGTGCAAGAACTCAAAAGTTTCATGGGATAGAGATGAATTGAAAAAAAAATGATGGGGTCAAATTAAATATTGAAACTTGAAGGTCTACTCTTGAGTTTTGACTCTGCTGCTCTCCCTCTTCCGTTGCTGACCAAGCTCTCCATCCATTGTCAAGCCACACCTCTCCATCATCAAGGTAGCTTACATAATTCTTCCCTATTTGATTTAATTTCGTTTGCAGATTCTACAAATTCAATCCACAAAATTCTCAAAGAAATCCTTGAAAAAACACAAAAACAAGAAATCAGTCCTATTACTCTGCAAGAATCAAGAATGGTATTGTTTGCAACCCATTTTCTGGCGTTCCTTTTCCTTTTCCCAGTCGGCATTCGCCGTCTTATATTCTCACTGTCACTGTATCTCCAAAACCCATCTCAATTTACATCAAAAGCATGGTATTTTTCAGGACCCAAGTGGAAAAATGGGGACATGTACGCTCTTCTTTTAGCCCTCCCAATTGCCTCATTTTCCCACATTTATTTATTTTTTGCAATTTCAGGCCACCCCAATTACAGATTCTCATTCTTGGCACAATCTTTGTTGATCTTCATCTTCTGGGCCCTCTTAGTTCTTATAAGTTTGAAAGAAAGTTTGGATCTTTATGTAATTCCTGAGAGTTTTGTGTTTATACTTTGTGGCATTGCTTTTGTGATTGAGTATTACATGAACGGGCAAGGGATTTTGGGACTTGGTGGAGTTGCTTATGAGCTTTTAGGTGGATTAGCACTTGTTTGTGCTGCTTGTTGCTTGTATTTGTCCATCAGCCCATCGGCATTTTTCGCTGATTTTTTGCTGTCGTCTGGGCTTGTTCTGAAGGCTGTTTGGGTTCTGCAAGTGGGAATGTCTTTGTATACTGATGCATTTAGTCTAAAAGGGTGTGAGAAGATGGCAGTGAGTCGGGGAAATAGGGAGATTGATGTTAAGTGTGAGCTTGAAGAGGACAAGTTGAGGGGTGTGGCATTGACAAATTTGCTGTTCGTTGTGCATACCGCACTGGTTTTGTTCATGAGCTTCTCATTGCTTGGATTGTTGCATCGACATAGGAGTAACAGGTCTCGGGAGGTAACGGGACCATTGCTATCTCAGATTGGATCATCAGAGGGTATTGTGATGAATCCACTCCCTATATTTGAGATAGAATGAGGATTTTACTGGTAAACAAGTTTAGGTAGGAACTTTGAGTTGAAAATCTGGCAAAAAATTATTCCTTGTTCTCTACAGACAGGTATACTTTGACATTTTTCTCAGCAAACATTGCTGCTATACAGAATTTTGTACTTGACTTATGCTTCAATGAAATGAGTTGTCAGTGTTCTTTATTGTCATTGGTTTCATGTTTATATACTCATGTATGTGTATACGTTTTTGAATATATCTCATAGTCATCAGTATATAAATTACTTTTGAAAATTTGGCTAAAGATTGATTGGATATTTAACCATGTATTATGCTTACATCTCCGCAATTGTGTATTTTCGCAATGTACTCTATAAAAAAGTTACTAGTAGATAATGAGCACAATTTTGTATAATTAGGACTCTATAACTTCTAACCAGTTGCCACTTTGAACAGGGCAAAGTGCAAAAAATCCTTACTGCTTTTGATACACTACTGCTTTCATGAGAGTACTTTTGCTCTCATCTTTTTCGTTACCTCTGTTTTATGCATGTTTCAGTATGTAAAAAGATGTTAAGATAAAAGAATTAACATAAAGGATAGTCAGTCTTGTTAAAAATCAACTGCCAACTGAGCAACTTACTTCTATTGTATCAATAGAGAACAAAAGGGACGTCTTTAACTTATACCTGCGCAAGGCTTTACGCGAAACTCCTGTAGATGACAGAAATTTGTACTGTACCCAGAAAAAAGAGGTCTAGTAATTTGATATTTGATCCTGCTTACTCTTTACTTTGATTAGAATTCTCTGTTTCATGCCTTCATGGTGGAAAACATGCAGAAATTCTTACGTTTGGTTATTGAATTGAATAGCTCAACTGGAATGGTGGACTACTAGATAAAACCAATTATTCACCTGTATTCGTTGTCAGACTTAGAAAGTTTTCTGGAATCAGTATGTACCTCTCTTGTGATATGTTGGGATGAAACTGTCTGCCTTTCTTATTCCACAGTTCACAGTTGTACAAACATAATCCACAAAGAGCAATATGTTGCAGGCCAAAGCATGAAATGAGAAATAGTTCTTGGATCAATGATCAAAGCTTAGTGGAGTGCCAAAATAAAACTAGACTGACGTTCATGGATTTGAAATTCATTAAGGTTGATTATATCTTAAAGAAACTGAAATTATGATCTTTTATGAAATTATGATCTTTTATGAGTGGTTAAGGTTGATACCTCAGGAGTTAGAGGTCCTGGTTTCTAATCCCCATGTCCCCCTCCCTGTTTCTTAAATCCCACCCCTCCCTTGCTAGAAAAAATTTAAAAGAAAAACTGAAATTATGATCTTTTATCAGTGGTGATATTAGAATAACACTGTAAAGATGATAAAGAATCTATTTGTCTAAAAGTAATTTTGAGATCTAGTTGCTTAATATTCATTCCTCAAAGTAACTCTAACTTAGTGGGACATAGATAACACGATAGTCCCTAGGATACTGCAATGGTTCTTTGAACTGAAACTTAACTGAACAACATTTTGTTTCTTGTTCTTAACTCTTGCAATGAATTTCAAGTGTTCCATGCCTGCCTCTTTTAGATTGTTTACATAACCTTCCAAAAGCTTGTATCCAATAAATTGGATAAATTGGGATACAGCAATGGTTGTAACTTTTCTACAAAATGGTCTGCAGAAGTAACTATGTGATTACTGGGAGAGAGAGAGGAGGGGGGGGGGGGAGGAGAAAAGAGACTCTTGAACTCGATATCTCTTTCAGTCTGAGAATCAGAAAATTGGATTTTATTCGCCTACTTGGTGAGTGACTTGAGGATTCTGAAGAATTAGGTATCAGACTATCTGCAATACTAGTTTCCATTACATACTTAAATCAGGACATTTACAATGTCAATTTCTGGGGGTCATCCATGAGTAGCTCAATAATGGCTCTCCGGCATCAGATAATTTTTGAGGTAATTTATCTCTTAAATTCTTAAACCAGATCATTTCAGTTGTTAGTGGCAGTAGGCACCTCTTTTCTATTCTTTCAAGATTAAGTCACACATTAAACTGGTCCATCCACCAAGCTTCTTGTTTTTGTACTTTTATGTCTGCATTCAGCTTATATCTCCTTCAGGAATTGAAACATGCAACTGCTGAAACTTCATGGCTCCAGAATCTTTCTCAACTTTACCGCTGCATTTCAGTTTATCTGTCAAAAACATGGCCTCTGACTGGTATATTCGTGCAAAGACTTATGCAAGTTTTTTATTTTGCCAAGTACCAGATAAAGATCTTGAACATGATAAATGTAAAATACATTCTCTTCCTTTTTTTTTTTTGCACATCTTTTGACACATATAGGAATGCTGGATGCTTAGTTCACAAATCATCAGACCTTTTGTCAATAGTGAAATTACAATTCACTAATCCACAAGAAAATTGGTATTCAAGTTCTTTCTCCATGTGGGCTCTAATTACAGTGAAATGACTAACTAGCTGTGACAATGGTGAAGTCTAAACTGTTTTATGCCTTCTGCATTACTAGCATTTCATGAGTCGACAAATGAAATAATCTGCTCACCAATGCTGTTTTGATGAGTACAAAGTTTGTAAAAGAAAAGGAAAAAGATACACAGACCAGGCACCTTTTGTCCAAGTACATTTACCCTCAACAATATGTTGTAGGAGAAGTTATTGAAGTACAATTATTGCTATTGTGAAGTTGCACTTATACTAGTTTAGTTTTTCATATCTTGTTACAGAAGAAAATCTGGAAAAATTCAACCATCGCTTGCGGAAACGACTGAACCAATGAATTTTAATTCTAGATCGAATTCTTTTGATCTTATTGATGAAATTGTATCTTTTCTTGAGTAGCTTGGATTTGGAGAAGTTTAGCAATTTCCTAACTCCTTTAGGTCCTGCATTAAAAAATAATATTCATCAAGAAGGTTAATTTGAAAAGTGAATATAATAGATAGAAGACATTGATGGGCAAAAACTAAGCAAGACTGCCAGAAAAACCATATAGGACAACGAGTAAATGGTTCATTCAGCCACCAAAAATAGGGCCAAATTTCACATGAAATTAGGCTAGGTGAGGTTTGGGCTTGAGTATTAAATGCAATTTAAAATGGGTAATGTTGTGGCCATTGAATGATGCGCTTGACCCAATAAAGACCTGATATCTCCTAGCTATGAAATGTAAATTTATGATTATTTTACCCACCTTAAATCTTTATAAAAAAGATGGTTTCTATTAGTTAAAATTCTTGTGATATTAGTTAGAATTATTCTTGTTTTCAATACTTAAAATTATGATTTATAATTCACTACTAATACCATTTGTTAGTAAAACATTTCTTTTAAAGAACAAGAAGAACGAAAACCATGAGTCTGGACCAGGGGATGTTGAGCCTACAAGCCTAATATACTTATAGGGTCATTCTTGTGCCTTGATATTTTTAGCCCAAATGGGCAGTTGCCCAGACTAAAAGCTGTGACTTTTTATATGGGCCCATCATTAGCCTAAAAGGCCCAGATGACAGGGCTAAACCCATGTGCTGTTGGTTGTTATACAAGTAGTGCAGTGTAACATTGCAGAACTCTTCATGACTCTTGATTTCATGGCTTATATTATGGCAAACTACAGCTTTCTATTTAAATGATGATTTTCTCTAGTTCTATACTAGCCAACCATACCTCGATTCTTCTTCTTAATATGATGTTCATCTTTTATTCCAGCATTGTACAATACCTGCGAGTTGTCAGGAATAGAGGACTCATTAGATGTCCTTGTTTTTCTTACGAATTTAAGGTTTCAATGAGCTTCAGAAACCAGATTGTATATGGTGAGATAAGAAAATGATGTTAGACATCATTCTGGACTTTGTAAAGAGGCTTGTAGGTGCAATTCAAGTTACCTCAACTAAGCTCTCTAATCGTGTTCTCATCCTTCTTTGAATGAAGCCTCGAGTGCTCTGTTCGAACTTTGTTTTAGCCTCAGCAGGTGAGAGAAGTTCAGTAATCTAGCTAAAGAACATAATCTTGTTCTTACCTTTACATGATATTTCACAAATGCATAAAAGTTAAGTAGGTTCCAAACAGTTTTGTCAAGCCTCTTGCCTTCAACATGACGCCCAGTGATATCTGTGATGTAATCAAGTAAGATCATGTACTAGTATTCTTGTCGCAGAATAAAAGAAGTACAAGGTGTGTAGCTAATACCAAAAGAGACAAATCCTCCATTGGTGCTCAGATCTTCAATGGGCTCTCCTCTCAACTCAGCTGGTGGGATTGGAGACCAGATGCAATGAGGTGCTTTGACAAATGCTTTTGAGCTTCCAATATCCATGAGTTCCTGTGGTTAATGTTTCAAGCTTCTTCAAATATTGTTTACAAAACATGGTTTCAAGAAGAATATTATTCCATCATTGATAAAAGTTTTTGGTTTTACCTGAAAGAAAGCTGTTGCTATGATTACATCTGTATCTTCTTTAAAGCGCATAGGGAATACTGCAGTGATTTTTTCTGGCTGTTAAAAGAAACAATGGTGAGGATGTATACATGAGCTATAGAAGTATTCATTTTTAAAATTGAATATGGAATATGGTCTTTAATTTTCCAATTCTCCGTCATGTTCAATTGCATTTGATAGTCTATTTTTTGCTTCTGCTTTAGATGTCTTTGGTGTTAAATTCATACAATAATCAGTAGAACTTATGAATTTACCTGTTTGATGACAAAGAAAGGTTCCCTTGGGTGATAAATGAGTTTGACTGGTCTGTACATCCCTTGAGAGACTTCTAGTGAATTGACATTCATTAACATATCTTTGAGCTGAGAGCTTAGGATGACACCTTGTACAGAGGAAATGCTTGCAATCATTTTCACCCCACCTGAAAAGCATATGTCATGCAAATTTGATGAGCGCATTTACTTTTATTCATAGAATGAATGTCAATAACTTTATCACATGCGTAGCACTGGCTAGAAGTGAAAAGAGGGTTAAATCATGTACCTACATCATAAGAGGTAGATGTTTTAATAGCCCGTGAGGTGCATTTTTTCCCCCTTTCTTTTGAGTAAGGCGCATGTTTTCCTAATGAACTGATTGCAGCGGTCACCTATTGGATGGTTGGTTGTATCCTCAGGTGAGTCTTTAGGCTACTGAGCACCTCACCACTAACTGAGAGTAGAAGCTGTAAGATGTATTCTTGATTGTGACTAGCCAAATCTCCTCTAGACTTAAAAATGTCTGAATCCGATAGAAGTAAATGAATGGTTTCGGCTAGGTGGAAAACCTAACCAAGAGAGGGGTAACCTTCTCCTTTTCCCCCTCATTTCCAGTACAATATCATTCTATGTGGTCAACTTGTCTTACAGTTTCATTCCTTATCCAAATGTTTGTTCACTAAGTGTTCACAAATCAACATCTTGAAGGTAGCTACATACTTCCTCATGCTCTATCTTTGTTTTAGTTGAAACAGAACAATAAGTTGGATATATGGTAATCCTATTAATTAGCAGAAATCCTAGAAATTCTGCACGACTAATCTAATAGCACGTACATCAAAATTACTTATTCCAACATTTTATATATTTCCACCTCCTATATTTTTGAGTTTTCACTTAGCGTTTGCACATATCACTTGTCTTAGTAGCAGCTCTGCACAGATTGTTTGCTGTTGTCGAAGTATTCCTGGCATGAAATTAGGGGCAGTAGAAAGTCTTGTTCAATCATGTAACTATTGTTTGTATCCTCTTTTAGGCAACCGCTTAGGGAACTTTTTTATGTCTTCATGATGAATAAACAGGTTAGAAACAAATGGCACCAATGACATGGTTGAACTGTATAAGCATTGGCAACGGTTTCAGCACAAGAGGATAGGCCTTCTGTGCAAAGTGCAAACTGCTGGTTTTGGAGACAAATTACTGACCTTTATTGCGTGGAATCCTTGAGTACTTGAGTCTCAATGTCAACTTATATCCTTCTTTTGGAGGTTCAATTATCTCAATGACATCAGGGCTGATTCCCTTCACCATCTCTAATGTATAACGTGGTAGCCCAGATGAGAGAATGAAGTCTTGATACAGGAGTGGCGTTGCTATAGACAAATAGGTGTTATCTGGAATTGATGCAGAAGCCTAAATAACATCAAACAACTGTAAGAATTTTTATTCTGAGATGCAATAATGTGTACATGATCATGCAAAAGTTACACGTTAGCCTGCCTATGAAAGGTTTAATATTTCATTTTAGCATATCATAATATAGGTTTGAGACTAAACCCTAAGTGCTTTAAAGGTCCGAAGATGATATTAAAAAGAACTGTAGGAAGGGGATAGGCTGAAAAGGAAGGGAAATGTTTACGAGAAGAGGGAAAGCAAGGTAATCTAGAACAGCATTAGGTAAAGAATATTACAACAATGCCATATATCTGGAAAACCACCAATGACCTACAAGAACTGAACTTGTGGACATTATTGGTAGAAGATAAGGACAATATACAACACTACTAGGATGACTCTTATGAATTTTTTACTCATGATGTATCTTTAGTAATCAAAGTCTTCACATGCTTTAGATGAAACTAATAAAATGCATCAAACTTTCACAGGTCAATAGACACTGAAACTGAAGAAACCTGAAGACTGTTCATTAACTGTACCTGAACATGATATTCCACTGATCCAAATTCATACAAGTGGTGATCAAACTCCAAGGGCTTTTCAGCTCTGCCTCAAACCAAATATGACCGCTTATCATGAATAAGAACTTTAAAACTTTTGCAACAGAAGATTAAGAAAAGCTCAACTCATTTAATGAGTTAAATTGCATATTGAACTAAGTGGACTGTTGACCTCTGCATTGCTTTCAGTTTCCGACAATAATATCTAAAAAATGTAGTAGAAGCATGCTAAGTAATTTCAGCAATTCTTGGCAGAACAGCATAGTCAGAGGCAGAGAAGCATTGAAGTTTCCCTGACCTGTATAATCTGAGCAGAATCTCCTTCAATGCTGGTGATTCCCTTTGAAAGCATGCCATATTATGTTTTTGTCTGTGTCTAGACATTGTTTTAGGTTTGAAGTTCAACAGAAGTCTACAACATATTTACTTCTACACCTGAACGGTGCATGAGCACTTTTTGAGTAAAACTCAAGTCTTCTGTTGCAATCATGCTTAGCAACCTGTGAAGCAATATACTTTAGCCTATCTTTCACTTCCCTCCCAGACACGTACAACAAATCAAATGCTTCCTGTCAAAGAAACATCAAACCAATCAGTGTCTGAATTGTACTCTTCATCCAATGAATGATCCTCCTAAATTTGCACTATTTAAGCTGCATTTTGTGCACCCCATGTGAGAATCTTCACATATTAGTCGTTGGATCCAAATAAATTATGGTTAGATCATATAATGTAAGCTGCAATGCTTCTGCAAACAAGTGTATAATTTACCTTATCTTTTCATTTCTTTCTACTACAACAAAAATTAAAGAATGGACTGTGGGCTTAACAGGAGGCAATGGTGCCAAAAGTTATTGTATAACTTCTTGTAACTTATCTTGAATTCTTTAACCAAGGTCTCGATGCACATATGATAGCTGAGAATTTTTACTCCTCAGGCACCAATAATTAGTACTTACTAGCAATCTTGTCTCTTTATGCTGATTGGACAAGTGAAAATTTGGGCATAGCTACCCAAGTAGCATAATTTTTTGTTTTTTTCTAGCTTCTACCGACACTGATTAACCATAATGTGTTGGAAGACTAAGCTAAGAAGGCAACTTGATTTGGTTAAACTTTGAAGGAACATATTACCTACTTAGGCATGTGAATATGTGGTTACAACTGAACAATTACCTAACTTAGAAGGCAAAAGAAAGCTCTTTTGTGGTTAGCTTATGTCGATTATTGGTAGAAAGTCTAGATTTCTTTCTCCTTTTTTTTATATTAACTTAGCATATCTTGTAGGTAATAAAATTCATACAAATTTCAGAATGTAGCTCACTTTTGTTTTCATTTGAGTTTGATCTATTGGAAACCAATTGGTTTTGGTTCTTTTTAGTTTTCAACTTGAAAAACAAAAATCCAAGAAGTCTGACATAACTTTTGAGTCTAATTGATGAAATCTATGATTATAATCATCGGCCAACTACACAAGGATATAATGCAAGTAAACAGAGAAATTTCCCGAAAACATTTAAGTAGAAGTTGACAACTAAGGGACACCAACATAGTCGTCTAACCTGCATTATCTAGAAGCACTTTGATTTTATTGAAAGCATCGTGTTTTTTTGACTTTTGAGCCAATTTTTGGACATGGATGCTTTGTATTTGCTGATTCCAAGTGGGCAAGCACATAATTAACAAATACTACACACTTAATCCTAAGATTTCTTGATACCTCCATATCCTTCCCTCCCGCAATTGTTAGACGCATGATTCGATGACTCGTAAATGTGACAGCGAAATAACCCTTCCAAACCAATTAGAGTACCATTCCAAATTGAGAGCTCGTTCTACTTTGGTCAACAACTCGGCATTTGCATAAATTCTTTTCATTCATCTTTTTGCATTCATGAATCGTGGTTGATATGACACTACTACTATGATTTGACTTCCTCAAAATGAATTGCCATTGGGCCATTTGATTGAAAGAACAAAAGACTCCACTAAGTGGAATCTGAAACGATTATCTAATTTTGACATGTACTCGTGTTCTTTTATTTTTCTTGTTCCTTTTTTTAAGATAAACATGGCACTTGTACTCTAATTAGTAAGAGATTTCGGATTCGAACTCTCCCGCTTACAATAAAAAAAAAAACTATGATAGTATAGACTTCCACTCTTAAGAACAAAGGTATAAACATGTGTTTTACATAAAACAGATGGGTTCATCCTTTCATAGTTAATTACATTGAATTAACTAAAATAGACTACAAAAACAGACAAATGGAGAATATTTGGTGTGGGTAATCATTTGCTTTTGTTTTGTATTGAGTTTGCGTGACACTCTTTCTTTCATAAGAGCTTTGCCGATTGCCATTCATGATTGACCTCTGCCATTCCATAGATGAAGGGTTTTGGCTCTCCATATAGAAAGCTATTCAAACTCACCAAAAAGTGATTGCATGAATTGTATTACTAGCAAATTTGTTGCTTACATTGCAAATGACAAGGCAAAAACGATATATCTCAATAAATGGTGGTCAATTATCCCTTATCTAATCCTTGATATCAAGTAATAGTGAACTTTTCACAGATAATACTCCTTGTTAGAGTACATAAATGAAAGGTGGACAAAAAAAAGAAAAAACAAGTCCACTCTGAACTTGTAGTATCGGGCATCCTTGCCAGCCAGGCTTATCTTGTGGTTCTGGTTTTGTGAAGACAATGATGAGAAACAGCAATAATCTAATGTTTTTCGGTTGACCTTACTTCTCCTGGCCCATCGTTTATTTTGAGTTTGTTTAAGAAAATCTATTTTTTTTGGTTGCATAATAAATATACTTTTAATTTTTTTTTTATTTTTTAATCATATTTTCATCTCATATACATCATATAACAAAAAAAAAAAATTATAATATTACTTTTTAAAAAAAAAATTCAAATAATCTTCTTTCCAAACAAACTCATATTACCATTCTTTTGGATTTTGCTCCTGTTGCCTATTGTAGCAAATAAATTTATCCTAGGATAAGTTCAGGCTGATGTCGTTTTGGGTTACCAAAAATCTTGAAAATTTCATGCCATGCAGATATTGACCAAGTAGTTTTCTATTTTTCTTCTCATTTTTTCCCTCCTTCGGGTGCACCTGCCTCAGTTGCTTCTGTGCTCAAGTAAACACATGCACCAGATTGTCTTAGACCAAATAATAATAACCATCAGGAACGTATTACTCTGATAAGATAATATATTTATTGTAAATTTTGTACGAAATTATTCTTGAATGTCCCAAAATTGATTGAGATAAGGTTAACAAGATACTCGTGAATGAATATGAGATGGAAACGGTCACAATCTCAATATAGTCAGAAGTGAATACTTGACCAATCGGCTAACCTATGAGACAGTTCCAAATTAAATTAACTAACCAATCATAAAACAGGTGTGACTAAAAGTTCATTTTGCTTCATCTTTCCCTCTTTTTATAGGTGTTCTCATTTAATTCAAGGCATTGCTCAAAAGATCTCAATTTAGATTACATTAATGTTGCTGGCCCCATTGCCCCAACAAAATGGACCCCTTTTTGTGTGTCCTATTCCTTTCACACAGTTGTATCAAATGTATGTAGCACCGTTTTAAAATCTTCCAAGTTTCAACACTAACAAAAGTCGACGCACAAAATCCCCATTGAGAAAACAAACACTTTCTTTCAATTTTGGTCCTTCAGATTCAGGGTTCGGGAAATCTATTGAACAATCCTTATCAATATCTATTATATTTTTGAAAGAAAAAAAAAACCCAGAAATTCTTCTTAATCATTGTAGTAAATCCGGGCAATCTTTTGAGCTGGAAAAAGAATGTCTTCCAATTTTATATGATCTCTTTTTTGGGGTTTGCAAGAACCTTCCTTCATGTTTCTGAATCTGATTGCTTGAATCTTTCATGAGCTGAAAATTCATTCCTTTATTCGTTAGAAATGTGCATTGACTTTATCGGGTCATGCCGATTGTATTGAATTTCCGTAGTTTAGTTGTCAAGATTGCATCTTTATGGTTTAGGATGATAATTTATTGATATTGATGATTGGGTTGAGATGGGTTTTCTTGATTAAAGATTAACAATCAAGTGTTCTTCTTGTTTGTTGTGGTTTTGGATTGGTGGGTTGAGTTGTAAATACTAGGATAGTGAAGCTCATAGCAATGGATAAGAATGGTAAGAGTGATAAAAAGGAGTGTTTAAATGGTGTAGATTCTCAGAATCTTGCACTGAATGGAGGAAAAGATGAGCAAGAGGAATCACAGCTGTTGTTGCCTCCAAATAATGAAGGTGGATTGTCTAAGAAGTCGGGGAAGCCCAGGAGGAAAGTTCAGTGGAATGATAAAAATGGAAATAAGCTTGCAGAAGTCCTGGAATTTCAACCAAGGTAATATTACTTGTTTTCGATTTTTTTGAGTTATAGATGCTCAAATTGTGGTCAAAGTCTGGAATTTGTAGTTTCAGTTGCATTAAAGGATTCAGGTGAAGTGGATAATTGATTTTCTAACTGTGAGCTTTGGTTTGATTATCTATCTTATTAGTTGGTTTCTGCTTGATACATTGATACTGAATTTTATCATAATTTAGTTAGTCGCGTTTAGAGGATCCATGTCATTGAGATTTTGATGGGTGATCCATTAAGTGATTGCTTTAGGAAGATCTATGAGGTAACATATTTAGGATCATAACTGGATATTGGATTGTTAAATTGCAAATAACAGTGGGATGAACTGAGATGTGTGTTGCAGAATGGTGTCAGTTATATATGCCGAGGAGATCCTGATAGATTGGTTTAATATGTGCCATATAAATCGTGTTACATTTCCAATTCTCGTGATGGTTGATTCCTGGTTATGAGCTCTGTGTTGATGCTTGAATTCTGTTTGGAGATAAGTGACTAAATAGGGCGAATCTTGTTAACTTTTTTGGACCGGTCCCAATACCAAGCTTGATTTTTTTCTTTTGCAGTGAAATCCCAAGATCTGGTTTACTCTACAATGTGTTTCCTGTGCTTTTTTCGTTGACATAGGCCCTGACAATTCCTTCCCTAACAAAACAACCAATTCTCTGCTTCATGGAAAACAAAAACGACTAGGATCAGGAAATTATTCATTGGAGCTATATTCTTAAATATCAAATTTGTCCTTGTAATGGTTTATCTGTATTGGGAACATAAAGCTGGTAGCCTTCGTCAGATATGATGGGCATTAGGAGGTTGATGTCATTCTGACTGCATGTTTTCTGCAGAAGTAGTGATATATTTGGAGCACCATTGTCTGGTGGAGACAAAAGCGGACACCAATGCTCTCTAAATCTGGTAGAGACAAAAACTGTGAGATGCTAAAATATGACATACGTAGTGAGTGAATGTCCATGACTCTCAATGGCAATTTAGTTGATTGAATTACATTCAAGTGATTGCAGCCAACTTCTTGCCTACTATATCGTGCTTTCAAATGCCAATACTTGCCTTATTTAGGTGATCTAGTTGCATTCTATAGGATCTAAATTGTAAGAGTTGACTTGCCATTAGATGAGTTGATGCATCTGCATAATGTCATTCAGATTGTCAGTGTATTGTGGAGACACACTGGTTGTTTAGCATTGGCATTTCAAAATCAAGTATGATCTTGTCATCATTCCAACAGTACTATCTTCTGAATAGGCATCCCGTAATTGTCTCATTTTGTTTTGCATTCTTTATCAATATATTGTCCCTTCCTCTGAGAATCTTAGATTGACATTATGCTTGCAAGATCAAGGAATATGTCCTCCATTGTATCGTATCTATAATACTTCTACAGGAGATTGCTGTTATATCTTAATTCCTTGGTCCTTGGGATCCTTTTCTTCTTCTTTAACTGGCTTTCAGATTTTACTTTTCCAAGTTGGATTATGAGAGAATGAAAGGAAAGGGGAATCTGGAAAATTTTTGGACAAGCAGGGGATTTTGAGAGGGATGCTTAGCCTTGAAGATTTAAGTTTCACAAGTAAATGTGCTGGAGAATTGTTTTATTTAGCCAATCTAGTTCGGGGACCTTGCCTGGAATTAACTTTTTCCTGGGACATGAATGTGACGGCTGCTGCTAAGAAATTTCTTTTGGCATGACTGTGGGTGCCCATCAGCACTAACTTTTAGTGTAGGAGAATAGCTTTCCAGGCACCAAGTTGCTTTATAGGAATCTTCAGTGTTATGGGTTCTGACATCCATGGTTCTGGCACAAGTTACATCACATATTTTGCACTTAAATTTGTTGGGGTTGCCATGTTTTCAATGCCTTACAGCAGGATATGCACTTAATCATGAGCCCATTGAACATCTAGGCAACCTTTATGTCTTGACATAAACAAGTGTAACGAATCATTGCTTTATTTAGTGCATAATAAACTTTGGCACTCTACCCTTACTGAAAATAGCAACCGGAATACACGTGTGTAACCTTGATTTCACCCAAAAAAAGTTTGCACCTCTTTCCATATTGAGATAGATTTACCGTACTGAGGAATGCATGTTGGCATTTGACAATTCCCTGTGAATTGGTTTCCAGACTTGTTCAACAGACGGTGGCTATATTACTTAATAAACTGAAGTTGTTCTGATGTAATTTCTTGTTTTTCTTACAGTGATGTGAGTGAGTCTGATGATGATGAGTCAGATACCTGCTTCTGTAGGATAATGTAGTATCTTCGTGAGATTTTGCTGGACAATCATGGATTGCGCCCGACTCAGATTGTGAAATTTGGGTAGAGTGCTGACAATTCAATTCACATGGAGCCGAGTGTGAAATGATTTCAACATCATTGAAGCTTCAGACTATTGGATTTCATGAAAATGATGGTCTTTACCATGTAGCAAATTGGTTTCACCTGCTGGAGGTGTGCAGCAACTAGCAATATTCGTCTGTTAGATAGAGAGTAGATTAAGAAGTTCATGATTTGGCTTCCGTATGACCTATAATAGCCTTATCACCCCATCCCTGTGTCCTGGTCATCTGCCGGAGATTACAAGCTTCCAGTGTAATTGACTTGATAGATTGCAGACGAAAACAGAAAAAAGAAAAAAATAGGAGAGACCAGAATTTGTTCTCTGGTGGATTCTCATACTAGTGATATTTGTTTGATAATGCAGCAATAATTGCTCTACTTTTTTGTCAATTTCTTTCTTCTATTTCCTAAATAAAGATTTCCTTGTGCAACTGCTGATTATTGTCTGTAACTTCCGAACCCAGTTGATTAGATTTTCATCGAGTACAATTCGAGATTGGGGACTGGTTAACATTAAAGATAAACGATGCTTCCCAGATTTTCTTGGCAAAGATAAACTAAATGGATTTTCTGTCTAATGCTACACAAGCAAGATAAATTTGATCCATGTACATCAGAGTTCCTTCTTTAGGTATTGTTTACTTCATTTGCATTGAAAAAAGAATACAATGTATTACAGATTCACAGCAATTTCCCATTATCACTAAAGATATAAAAGCAATCAAGCTGAAAAGTACAAGATAAAGACAAATGTAACAAGACGCCCTTGCCTTGTCTTATTCAGAAAACAATTCAACACCTGGGCAGGGTGGAGCTTTCCAAGAAAATGCAATGTCTGTTCTATTATGAGAGAAAATGCAATGTCTGTTCTATTCTGCACAAATCCAGAAACAGTTTTGAGAATGTATGGTATTTTGGTGGTGAAGCCGACAGCTTTTCCTTGGTGCTTAGAGTAGTTCTATCTCATCTGCGGAACGAGTCTGATGCATCCACCTTGATCTTTTTTGATGGGTGTTTGCTATTGCAGCATTGCTGTCCTTGCCATTGAAAGAAACCAACCAGTTTGAAAGGCTAGCATCAACTGCAATTTCATGACTCTGAGGCTTGAATTGATTCAAATCCACTGATGAGTTCAAAGCTAAAGGTTCGGAGCTCTTCTTCGTACATAAGGGCATATGCTGCTCTTGCTCTAACACTATGTTTTCCTTCTGATGCTTCAATTGCTGTCTAGTTTTAGCTTTAACCTCTTTCCATTGAGTGAGATTTTCAACTGGAGCAAGCACAGAAAAGACATTGTGACTCCTGTTTCGAGCATTTTGGTTTGATTCAGTTTTGTTATGTTCTTGATGCTGCAGAACTTGAGGCTGCATAAGATTGCTTCCTTTTTCTGCCAATTGATCGGTTGTAACTTTTCCCTCTTCTTCCACTGATGCTTGGCATAGTTTTTGACTTCTGAAATCATAGCTTTCACCAATATCATCTTCATCAAAGTCAAGTTCATCCTCATCATCTAGATCGCTATCCTCTAGTTCCATCTCATCCTCTTCATCATAGCTATCTCTGCAATTTTGATATCTATAATTCGAAGGGAATGATCCAATCTTTGATGCCATCAAATTGTCTTCATAATTGAAATATTTCATGCTTGCTCCAGCTGTTTCTTCTTGATTATATTCCCACATTGTCTTCTCCTCACCCTCAGAAAGATTGCAATTACTAAGCTCATCATTAGGAAGTGGCTCATAAGTCTTGACATTCAAATTGAAGCTCACTTTTTTCTTTATTTTCGCGGACGACGATTCTTTAGGCTTATCTCTGCAACCAAAAGCAGAACACAAGCATGAAAAGCAATCCTTCATTCCCACGATTAGATGTACACCTAAAACCGAATACAACTCTTTAACTCACCTAAGCTCAGTTGCTGAGGCCTTCTGCATCTCATCACATTCAAGTTTGACCGTAACATCACAGTCCAGAGGTACATACCTTCCATAACTCTTTAACAAAAACAAGGCAATTTCCCACAGTAAATTCAAGATATTGAATTGATGCAAGTTTTGTGTATCCTCAAAAGCAAAGAATTCTCTTACCAAAATAAAAGAAACAGAAAAGATAAAAGTCGAGATTTGTCTTACTTGGTCTCCAGATGCATTTTTGCTCCTACCCTTTGTCCTTCTCCTTTTCTTGGTGAACCCAAAACAAGCAAGAAAGCACCCCATTGAAGAAGTATGCTAGATTTCCACGCTTCCCTGCAAATCAGGCAGGAAGAAGAAGAAGAAGAAGAAGAATGTGGGTTGTCTGTCTTGAGGGATTTTATAAGCACACACAGGGTATTATTAATAAATTATCAGACCGATGAGGGCAACATTTCAAAGAGTTGCCTCCAATGGCATTTTGAAAATAGGAACGTTGAGAAAAGGAGCAAGTAATAATGAGTACAGAGGTGGGTACACGAGCTCAGTAAAAGGCCAAATATATAGAGTTAGACTAAGACAAAAACCAGCTTTGTCTTTGTAACTCAACAACACCTGTACCATGGTGGCTCCACTCCACTCTGGCATTGCAGCATTTCTTTCGGGTTTTGTACACTTTTTATTAATATCCATTCTGGGATCTAGAGCTCAACGGTTGCAAGCTTGCTAGCATTCAATAATCAACCATTTATGGGGCATGAAAAGAAGGAAATATGGCCAACCTTTCTGTCAAATTTAAGGGAAAAATGCACCTTTTTCATCCCCATTGTTTGGGGATTGGACCAATTGTGGTCTCTATTATTTAAAAAAAAAAAAGGACATATTTCATCCCTTAAGTTTTGGTTCTTGACCAATTAATGAGAATTGATGTTTCATCACTCAATTTGGTAGAAATTGATGATTGACAATTAAAACTTGAACAGAGTAAAATGTGTGAAGCTAGGGTGCATAAAATTAGTAAAAAGACTTGGGAGGTACAAAATTTTATCGAACTTGATCCATTTCAAGTTTCCTGTGATTCTTTTCCAATCATTCAGCACTTTTACCCACATTATTTTCAAAATTTGAAGAATTTTATCTGATTAATTTTGAGGGTTTCATAAATTTTGTTTCCCTAAGTCCTTTTTTTTTTATTATTAATGATGCATATTTCTCACTTATTTCATTCCGTCCAAATTAAGTTTTTTAAACTTCAATTTTAGTCCGAATTGGACGATTAAACGTCAATTGTCATAAATTCATTAAAAAAAAAAATTAAGACCTGAGAGATAAAATGTGTTTTCACTGAAATAACATAACAGGGACCAAATTGGTCCAACTGCCAAACAATAGGGGACAAAAAGTGTATTTTTTAAAGAAAATTTAATCAAATTGATCATTAATCCTTGTCACATGAACTCATGCATGACCAGTTCCTATGACCATCAAGTCTGAGTTTCTGGTTTGTGGACCATGACATATTAGCTATTATTCCACACAAATCACACTCATTCAAACCTAAAAGTAAGACTGCTCAAGAAAAAAACGAAATCATAGTACCCACAAGATAAGATGAAGAGGACTTTATTGTCCTTAGATTAAAGTACATTATGCAGTCTTCGTTTTCCAAGATTCATCTTGCACAACTATTTGTACCACAAGAAAGTGGCAACAATAATACAAACATATAGGAGATTTAAACTACTGAAAAGTGGTCATTAGTCAACAAGCTCATCTACTCTAATAGGAATTAGAGTGTATGTTTGTAGTTTGTTTTAGGACTAATCATTCACTTCTTGATATAAAACAAAACATTAGCTAGTAGTCTCCTCCTGTCATTCGTTCATGTAGCCTGTACTACACAAGAGTAAATTCTTTCTTCCACCACCTTGTTTGAAAGGTAAGTTTTTTGAGAGTTTGTCTAAAACTTTACTGTATTTTACTGTAGAAGTTTTTTAAAAAATTTTTGAAATGTGTAGATTTTTGAATATTTTAAAATGTATTTTTTAAAAACTTTGAGAAATTTTTTGAAATTACTGTAGCTAAAATTTTAAAAAAACTTGTAGCAGACAAACTTGGCAAAAACTTGGGTTCCAAACAAGATACAATCAACTAATGCAAAACTGCTTGAGGTGAAAATGAAGAAGCCAAATTCGTAAGTTGAAGAATTGGAGATTGTGATTTTTCGTAGAAAATTTTTTACGTTTTTTGCAAACATATTTTTTAATTATCTTTTTATCATATATACATCAAATCACTACAGTACTTTTTTTTTATAAAAATTTTTAAAAATAACAATCCAACAATAGATTGCTCAAATAATAGTAAAAAAAAGTCCCCAAGTTGTGGAGTAAATTTTATATCATGTGACCATGCTTTTCCAAGAGGGATTTTGGTTTCGCTGGATAAGGAAGAGATGGCTTCTTCCCTAATCAAAAGAGTAATCCAATTACCATAACTAGTAATCTATTACACAAAGGAAACTAGTTTTGGTAATTAGCAGTTATAAATTATAATATACTAATTGTGCCTCCATATTACTTTTGAAATTTTGGGGTGTTGAAACCATGCTAAAAGCTTAAGATATTGGTAACAAAAGTGGCAAAAATATCTGTAAGATATGTTGACTGCAAATAGTTACAATTAGACTTATAAAGTTATAACAAATTGTAGTATTAGGTTGTGTTTGGATTGCATTTTCCGTCATTTTTCATGGAAAAATTACTGTAGCGATTTGATATATGTGAGGGAAAAAGGTGATAGGGAAATGTGATCACGGAAAACGATAATATTTTCCGACGGAAACAAGCAATCCAAGCATGGCCTTAGATTCTGGTTTAATAAGTTGCGACATTTATGCTGGGCATAGCATTCAACATTGTATTGCTATATTAGTACATCTCTACGTGATTAAAAATGAAAAACCATATAGGTTTGTTTGGATAGGGTATTATTTGAAATATTATTTGGAATAATTACTGTAGCACTTTTTGTGATGTGATGTATATGAGATAAAAAGGTGGTTGGGAATATAAAAAGGTGGGTTGAAAAATATGTTTATGATGCAAGCGAAATATTATTTGGGATAAATTTTGTATCCAAACACACTAATTTTACATTAATATAATTATTTTTTTATTTCACAGATATCGCATTACAAAATTATTATTATATCATTTTAACTATTTTTTTTCCAAATTAAGTAACATGCAAACACGTCCAACTAAAGATGTACTATATTCATCCTCTACATTGTAGTGTGGAAAGATTCTTTAAATTCTTTAAATTATTTAAACGGCATGATTCTAGCCAAATAATTTGTAAAGTGCTGCATCTAACAATTTCTTCCTTTTACAAAAAGTAAATTTAATTTATATAAATTCTTGTTCTACAATATATAATTCCTCTCATAAATTATTGTCTTTTTTTTAGTTTTTTTTTATGGTAGTAATAAAGAAATAAAATAACCATCATGTTTAGGACAAAGAATCGTATGTCGTTCCAAAAATATCTCTCTTGTAAACCTACAAAACCTTGACCCTCCTCCCCCTATCTCCAGAACTCAAATCTCCACCGTTCATCCCAACAAATCTCCACCCTCCATTTCTTATACCCACTCTTGCCCTCTCCTCACTTCTCTTTCTTTCTCCCCTTCTCTGAAATCCAGCAGCCGTCTTTCCTCCTTTCCCCCCTCTAACCCCTTCTTCCCAGCTCGATTAAGATTACTTCTTTTTTTCTTTTAAATTTCAAAGCCCACCAAAATTTCAGTCTTTATTTTTACTGGGTTAAGAAAAAGCAACAATTTTGGTGATGGATTCAGATCAGGGGAAGCTATTTATAGGAGGGATTTCATGGGAAACATCAGAGGAGAAATTGAAGGACTATTTTGGCAAATACGGTGACGTATTGCAGACTGTAGTGATGCGGGATAAAGTTTCTGGCAAGCCCAGAGGATTTGGGTTTGTGGTTTTTGCAGATCCCAATGTTCTTGATGGGGTTCTTCAAGATAGGCATGTCATTGATGGCCGCACTGTAAGACAATATTAGCCCCTTGTTTTCTCTTTTTTTTTCCATTTAAAATTTTTCGGTTTTGCTTTTAACTATTACTGTCTTTGTATGTGTGTGTGTGTGTTTTTTTTCCCCATTTTTTTTCCTGAGATTAGTTTTAGTTTGATTTTTGAGTGTTTTCTTTGTTTTGGGATGTAGGTTTTTCGTATCTTAATTCAATCTTTGATGGGTCGTGATGCGTTTTAGTAAGTTTGGCATAGTTGTTTTGTTTTGTGCATATGCCTGCAGTTTTATTCCTCTTCTGGGCATTGGTTTTAGCTAGGTGAAGTTGTTGTATTATACGTTGGATGATTTAAGTTCCTTTTATTTGTTTTTTGAATTCAGAAAAGGCTAAAATTTCAGCTGTATTTGTGCTGAATTTTTTTCATTATGATCCCTGGAAATTTTCCTGTAGATTGCTAGTATTTTAGGAGTTGATTGCTTAGTATACACTGGTGGCGTTAAGTTGATTCTTTATTTGTTTTTAGCTAGAAAAAAAAGCTTTTTGCCTTTGCTAGTGTAAATTGGGGTTTTGCATTTGTTGTACTTGTAGGTTTCTATTTAGGGTTGAGCGGACATGGTTTATTTTAAATATTGTACATATGGTGGTTGTGGATGTGGGTTTGAATGAATACTGGTTAGATTTCAAGTTTAGGATATGGTTTTGGCTTTTTGAAATCTGCCTTTATGTTTTTTATTGCGTGCATTTTTTGTTATTCTGATGATTTAATTTTTCAGTGTTGTGCTCTTTCATATGACGTGTGAAGTCAAGCCCAATCTAGCCCATGTGTCATGATTTTGCTTTTTTTTTTGGGCTTGATGGGCTGTTATTTTGGTTGGTTGGCACTAGTACAAAGCTTATATTTGGTCCATTAACTTGGGCTTTTTACCAATGAAGGTGCACCATTTTTAAAGTTATTGTGGTTTTTGATAGGTCATTGCATGTGTATGTACTTGTGTGGCTTATCTGTGATGATATCTGCAATGACCATTAGGCTACTAGCTTGGGAGTTCAAACCTGGATTTTGCCATTGAGCTATGAAAAGAGAATTTGTTCTCAGACCGTTCCTCGAGAGCATTGAACTTAGCAGCAGAGATTAATGTTTTATGTTCTTGGGTATAATTAGCATGTGTGTGTGTGAATATGTATTTGCCTGTGTGCTGCTATAGCAATATCAGTGTCTCTAATAGCTTTATGTGCTAGTTATGTCTATTACTCTCTTGCATAACCCTGAGTTCGAAATATCCAGGTTGAGGCTAAGAGAGCTTTATCAAGAGAGGAACAACAGATCTCTAAAGTTGGAAACGCTAATACTGGGAGGAGCTTTGGTGGTGGTGGTGGTGGAAATACTAGGACAAAGAAGATATTTGTTGGAGGATTACCTCCGACTTTAACTGATGAGGCTTTTCGTCAGTATTTTGAATCTTATGGTGATGTTACTGATGTGGTAATCATGTTTGACCAGCAAACGAACCGACCCCGTGGATTTGGATTTATTTCTTTTGACTCTGAGGAAGCTGTTGATAGGGTCTTGCACAAGACATTTCATGATTTAAATGGTAAGCAAGTGGAAGTGAAGCGCGCTCTTCCAAAGGATGCTAATCCTGGTGGGAGTGGCCGTGCCATGGGTGGCGGTGGTGGAGGTTACCAGGGATATGGTGCATCCGGTGGTAATTCAAATTCTTATGAGAGCCGAATGGATTCCAACAGGTACATGCAATCTCAAAACACAGGAGGGGGATATCCACCTTACGGATCTTCTGGATATAATACTACTGGTTATGGATATGGTCCTACCAATAATGGTATGGGTTATGGAGGCTATGGAAATTTTGGAGGTGCTAATCCTGGATATGGTGGCCCCGCTGCTGCTGCTGCTTATGGAAACCCAAATGTGCCTAATGCTGGTTATGGAAGTGGTCCACCAGGTGCACCAAGGAACACGTGGAACTCTCAGGGATCCTCTGGATATGGAAATGTAGGCTATGGAAATGCTCCCTGGGGTGCTTCTAACACTAGTGGTGGTGGCCTAGGTGGTGCTGGAGCTGCTGCTGGACATTCTCCCAGTGGAGCTGCGGGATATGGAAATCAAGGTTACGGTTATGGAGGATATGGTACAAATGATGGGGCTTATGGTAACCCGGCTACTTATGGTGGTGGCGGGCGTGCAGGGGGTACTCCAAATAGTAATTCCTCAGCTGGAAATGGTGCTGGAGATCTACAAGCTGGTGCTGGGGGTTATATGGGAGGTGGCTATGGTGATACATCTGGGAATGCTGGGTATGCAGGATGGAGGTCGGACCCCTCACAAGCTTCTGGCAATTATGGAGGCCAAGCTGGGTATGGTGGAGGCTATGGTGGTGCACCAACTCGGCAAGCTCAGCAGCAGTAACTGTAACCCTTGATGGAGACTTAAACTGCGTCATATATTGGAATCTATACACACAATGCTTTCAGATTGGTGCAGGTTGGCTGGCTGTTGCAAGATTTTACCAATCAACCTAGGACTGGTTGGATTGCTTGTATCTGAGTAGCTTGCTGTTACCTATTTTGCTAGTTTATAATAAGTAGTATTTGCGAGGAGTAGAGTTACATCTTCTTTAATTATCTGCTCTCAAATGTAGTTTTAATTTTGGTGTGCTTATAGCTATGGTCACTAGCTGATCTGGAGTTTTTGTCTATTTGTAGTGTTTAACATATAGTAGCTTTGTTTAAGTTTGTGTTAATTGCGGTGAGTATTATGGTAATGGTTATTTAGTTAAATTTTAAGTTTGTCCTTTATCTGGATATAGATGAGCCAGAAATTTATGTCATTGCCATCCGTGATGGTAGTAGTTTCTCATTACTTAGCTCTTCTACGTTGTTTGGTGACCAGAGTTCTTTGGTATGATGCAATAGGAACAATGAGATTAGTTAAGCTTCTTTAGACTGCAGCTGTAGCCGGTTTGGGTAGATCAATTCCTAATGGATAGCGATAATCTTAGCGGTAGCTTGATTTTGAGAATGGCATAATCATTTCCTCCTGTATTTGCCCTTGTGTTGTACAGGAGGAGAGGCTCAAGTCATAAACTGGGTGAATTGAAGTTCCTTCACAGGGGCTAATCACAACTTTTTGCTGAGTGTTTGGTGTGGGATGTTACAGGAAAATGAAGTTTGGCTGGGTTGATTTGGTGCTTTACCCTGAAATTGTCATGTTGAAGCAGGCCATGCTGCTGTTAAAGAATTTGGATGTCTCGATCTTCATACAATTTGAGATGGGTGGAAGATTCATTACCTGACAACATGTGGTATGTTGTCTAATGCAGATGGAGAAATCATCACCACTTAATATACTGGTGACATAGTAGTTGTAGGCTCTATGGCATTATCATGGCTAGCAGAAGTTGAATGATTAGTTACAATAGCAACAATTTTGGTCTGCTGTCTAAGAAAAGTTTTTTATGGTAATAAATGATTGAATATTTTGGATTTATATAGGTGATTTGACTCTCATTAATCTTGATAAAAGCCTGGAGCTTGGCAACTTGACTGTTTGATTTTGATCTTGCTAGATATTAATCACCAGTGTTTTGTTTCAAACATCAAAACATGATGCATGGACGTTGCATCGAGACATCGTATTAGTTGTAGAGGCTACTTCGGTTGTAAGCTCTGATGTATTTTGGCTGTATGCTGCTAGTGAACTGTCTTCCTCTTTTATCATTTGATCACATGGTCTAAAAATCTGTTGCTCTTTTGACTTGGAGGGATATGGTTAGAATGTTTTTGGGTGAAGTATTGGACCATATTGGAGAGCAGAAATGTAGTGGTATGTTGTCGGCTATGCTACTGGATTGATGCAGGAGGCCACTATGTGTTCAATATTGGCCTTCTATCTGGCATGTGATAAAGGAAACATACTGTGACTTTGTTGCATTGCAGGATGCCTGCTAGGATAGGGTTTAACCCTCGAGTCACAGTCAAGCAATAGTTGCCGGTGCATCATGGTGGGAAGGGATTTTAGTGGTATTGGACTCGCAGAAGCCTGAGAAGTTAAACTGGATTGTGTTGTATTCAATGGCATTACTTTTGAGTTCTATTAAAATTGGTGTCTAACTATATTTATCGTGGTTAAGGTTTCCAATCTACGATAAGAGTTCAAATACAACCATATCTTATGGTGTAATCCCAGTCACATTTAGATTTTGACTGCAAATCACGACTACAGTTGAATGCAAATTCAAGGTTTTAACCAATCTTCGTTCCACAAGCAATTCTTGGTGATCTGTTTCTATGCCTTCGACAAAGACACTTGCAACATTGTGAAGCTAGTTGTGAATCAACTTTGCACGTTTGTTTCTCTACTTTTGGTTCTTTTACCTTTATTTCTTGTTTTGTTTTTCATGCTTCTTTGGGAAGCAGTGAAGGACTAACCAAATGAAATCTTGAGCAGAAATCAATATTGGAGCTTAAAAGACTAAAATGGTAAGGCGTTTATGCTATTGGTCATCTATCTAGGATTGAATTCTTCTGTTGTTTCTCTTGAGATGGAGATCATTTCCTCTTCATAGGATGAACAATCAATAGGCTGAAGGTACACCTTTCTGTAGATTGCCAAAGGATACAACATTGCCAGGCCGGGAAAATACAACCTACGATGACATCATTCAGACAATCGTGTTGGATTAAACTCAGAAACATGAAAAATGATGAGCAGAATAGTTTTTCATGGTTTGTACCTGGTAGTTTCCAAGTGTGCATGTTTTGAATCCAGCAGCACAATAATCAAAATAGTATTCCCACGTCCGGATGAACTTTTCATCGAAACCCAATTCCAGGATTTCACTGAGGACAAAGGCATTAACGCGCCAATCAGTTTCCAAGTCACAAAAGCTAGAACTATATATGGTTTACTATGAATGAAAGAACTATAAGTGGCACCAGAAGAAAGGTAGCACAATTCTCTTGGGCTACGTTTGGATCGAGGGATTTAACTAACGAAAGGTGTAAAGTTCCTAAAACCCTTCTAGGTTGGATTTGGGTTTGTAACTGGTGTGGATTACAAACTCAAATGCATCCCAAGCAATTCAAACCTCTAGGGAATTGAGAGAATTTCAAATCTTTTGTCAAATTCCTCGATCCAAGCACAGCCTTGCTTTATTCTGTATAGAATGCCAAGACATTTATGCTGGTGCTTATTCCTTGCAGAACATCAGTTCTTATAAGCTTGGAACGAGCTTTCAGGTCAAAGGACTTCAAACTAAAACCAAAATTTGGAATTTTGTTCACTAAAACTCTGAAAGAAGAACCATATATTCTTTATTATCGCCTCAGGTGGCTGAAACTAACGGGAATGAACATAGTGCTGATTATATTACAGATACCTTTGTTTTGACAGGAAGTTTGTCCTCCAACGCCTAAGGGTATGATAGTAATGGATTCCAAAGTTTTCCAGGTGCTCCACGCTGCATTTGAGGTACTTTTATGAGTTTCCTATATAGAGAAAGCTTCAAACACATTTCACACAGCAGTGTAACTTTACCACAGTCCGGATGCTGCAGCCATCGCTGATGTTACTCGGCTAAGTGAAGGTAGGCAACCACCTGGAAAGATGTACTCTCTTATGAAGTCTGAGCTTTGTCTGTATTCTTCATACCTCTCATCTGGTATTGATATAAACTGAGGAGCAAAGATCATGCATCCATGGAGATCAGCAAGTCTTAAGGTCACATGAACCTTTCAACTAACTGGCTATAGTGAGTGATGCAGACATCAAAGATTGTGCTAAATGGATTAAGGAGCCCTTTCAAACTTCCATTTATTTAATTCGAATGCAAGGAGGTTCAGGCAAGAAGTTTGGAAGACGTTGGCTTAAATCGAGAAAGAAGATTAAGTTACTGTGGAAGTTTGAAAAGGCTCCTTAATCTGTTTAGCAGAAACTTTGATGTCCGCATCAGTCAGTGATCATCATCTTTCATTCACAAGTCACATTTATCAATTAGTTCTGGGCTTTTGGCCATTGAAAAATAGAGTTAAGATCATTGTTTTCAACCATGAGCAGATTAGACTGATTTTTTCTTTTTCTTGTATATTGACAGCCAAAACAAAATACTAAAATGATGATCAGGCTGGATAAGGAACTCTACAAGTACTAGACCATTATTTTTAAGAGAGTTTCAAGAAGCAAACAAGATGTAATTGTAAAAATAAGTCTCATTGGAAGAAAAAGACACCAAAAGCAAACACGGAAAACAAGCATTATGCCAGATCGAGCATTTCATTGAAGGATTCTCACAAGCTAAAACACGTAGCCTGATCAAGGAACCCAGAAGAGTTGAAAAAGATCGATTGACTTCATTTAATTTCTAGTCCAATTACCTGTAGGACCAGAATCCCATCTTCTGCCAATACTGAGTTGCAAGAACTGAAATACTTCTCCATATATTCATGACCAACAGCTTCCAACATCTCACTGCAATTTATCATCAATTCTGTTATATACTCATTGGCCTAGTGATGTATGATGTCAAAAAATAAAATGCAAAAATAATAATGAAAGAACTTACCAAGATATGATTCTGTCATATTTATAGGTTTCTGGCAATTGACGATAGTCACAAAGAAGAAATTTTATGTGATCCTAGGAAATGAAACGTAGCAAAATAAGTGAGGAAGTTTATGGAAACAGTTCAATTTAGATAGCACTAAATCAGTCTAAAATGATAACAAATAGATCATCTGAAATTGGCTAGAAGGATCACAAGCATAGATACAGAGAACACTTTTAATGCAATATGGACATAAACTACTTATCAAATGGTAAACAGTCTTGTGCAAAATCATTTACCCAACCATGCATCCAAAGTGGTGCGTAGTATTTGTGTGGTGCACCAATAATAGGTCTTGTACAGACACCCTACCTACCATCCCCAAACATTCAATTTTTGAAGAGTAGCAGACAAACACGAAATGATCCATTATGAAATCAATGTTCATAGTTACTGTTGGTAACTGCATAATAAGATAGATGGCAACCAGATTGTGGATTGTGATTATTCGGATTAAACATGATCTTCACATTCAGACATTACAAGAACTACACTTTTTAAGTTCATCTAAATTGAGTTTTGATGTCCAATTCGGTTTTGTAAAGTTCCAGAGCCATTGATTTTGATACCTGCATCCCAACTTCCCTCACTTTCTGTTCTGCATATGTAAGTTGCTTCTCAGAAAGGGTGATTCCAGTGTATTGACATCCAGTTCTTTTGACAACTTCAATAGCTAGACTTCCCCAACCGCAGCCAATCTCCAGGACATGGTGGTCCTTACTGATTCTGGCCTAAAAGTCGATTTGCAGTAGGTAAGTATGAACAGACATGGCTTTGATTACAAACCAGCTTAGGAATTTGAGGGACTTACAAAAAGTAGAATGCTTACCCTTTCAATCAATAGGGAAATTTTTCTCAATTGTGCAATTTTCAAGTCCTCATCTTCAGACTATGACAAGTACACAAAAAGGGATAGCTTTCAGATGTCAAGACAAAAAATAAGTTTCGCTGTAATTCAGCTTTGAAAAGACTACTATACTACAGCAAGGCTTAAATTCTTACCTTAAATATTGCACATGAATACGTCATTGTTTCATCCAAAAACAGAGAAAATAGTTCATTGCTCTGGAGACATTACAAGGAAAGAAGTCTTGATTAACTTTCTGCTCAATAGTTAGGCCAATAACTTTCATCAGAAAGAAATTACAATTTGCCAACGTAAAGCCAAATACAACAAGTACTGTATTCTTATTCCAAAAAAGGAAATTGTTTCATAATTAAAGAAAGAAAAGAAAAGGATTGGAGATTGTGAGAATCTCTTAGGAAACAGTTCTAATCTGAAAAATGGAAGACAGTATCAATTCCCTCGCTAAGTCAACAGGAAGAATATCCTAGCAATGTCATATTTAAGTGTGTTCTTGCTGAACTGTTCATTGATAAATGACTCACCAGATCATAATGCCGAGAGATGTTTCGGCGAGCCTGTGTTAGAGTATTTTGTCTTGAAACATGCTGAAAGAAGTACTTTGCAGATGCTAGTCCAGCCGTCAGAAGCAGTGGTGTCCACCAGCCTCTGCCAAAAAGGTTAAATGCATGCGTACCAAAACTAAGGAAATGGCGGGACTCTGGATCTCTGGATAAACTACTCACTAACATCTAAACACATCTAACTGAAAATCCTTTTACCTTTGGTAGCTAGAACTTGTAGCAGAAGCTTTAAGATCTCTGTTGGCAACATAAACCTGAAATGAAGAATTCAGAAAAGGGATGTTGATGAAAAAGCTTGACAGTTGTTTGGTGTTCATTTACTTACCATGAAAAGATTAAGCAAACCTTCATTTTTATCCACGAAAGAAATGTCCCCGTTTATATAGGCATCTGCAAGGCCTAAGTCGGCTTGAGTAGCAACCTGGCAATACAACATTGACATGGAATGAAGGCAAACTCAAAGCGTATGCAACTGGAGACTATGTTCAAATGCTTTAAACATCAACCAAAGAAATACT